GCTCCTGGGGCTACCTTTTCTAAACACCCAAGCTGGCCTACTAGCAGTCACACACACACAAAAAGACCATGGAGTGTGGGCAGGGAGACTGGAAGGTGGAAAGGTATAAAACGTGATAGATGGAATAGAGGACATACAACTTGAAGAGTAACAAGTCACAGTGCATCGCGCCATGACACCATCCCTCCCACCCGCCCACCCCACCCCACATCCTCCAGTCTCTGAAAGGAGGCTGGTGGCTCTCAGGGCCCTGGAGAGGCACCCAGAGTCCTTAGGGTTGTGGAATCCATGGGCATTGCACACTGTGCCACTGGCCACACAGACAACTGGGCTCAGTTTCCCCAAACGTTGCTACGTGAAGGAATCAGGGTGCTGAGTATGGCAGCAATGGCTGAAGTCGTATTACAGGGGAAAGGTTCACACGGAGGATCCGTTGAGCCTGCTGCCGCACCTCATCATCTGAGGACTGCCTGTCCACCTTGATGGCCCGGAATTTCAGCAGCTTTGCCGTTCCAGGTCCTAGCCATAACTTAGGGGATTGGGGCCCAAGCCGTGCTCTCTTCTGGGGAGGAAGATCCTTTGCCTCCTCAGTCCTTTTCCTCTTCTGTCCCGCAGTCTCAGGGCAGCTTTTCCGGCCCCTCCTTGCAGTCCTGGCCTGAACAGACCTTTTTGGCCTGCCCCTGCCCCTGGGCTGGGTCTGAGCCACCTTGGCCTTAGCCCGCACTGCCTTGTCCTTGGCCCTGGCCCGCACTGCCTTGTCCTTGGCCCTGGCCCGCACTGCCTTGGCCTTGGCCTTGGCCCTGGCCCGCACTGCCCTGGCCTTGGCCCTGGCCCGCACTGCCCTGGCCTTGGCCCTGGCCCGCACTGCCTTGGCCTTGGCCCTGGCCCGCACTGCCCTGGCCTTGGCCCTGGCCCGCACTGCCCTGGCCTTGGCCCTGGCCCGCACTGCCCTGGCTTTGGCCTTGGCCTTGGCCTTGATCCGTGCTGCCTTGGCTTCTGCCCGGGCCTTGGCAGCTTTGGCTTGTGTTCGAGCCACCTTGGCCTGGGCACGGGAAGCTTTGGCCTGGGCTGTTTTGGTGCCCAGAGCACAGCCACCTTTCATTCGTGGGCCACTGAGGGAACCAGAGGCTTTGTAGGTCTTGCTCTGGGGCCCAGTGCCTTGTCGGGGTCCAGCCCTGGGGCCTCTTCGAGTCAGACACTTGGAGCCCTTGCTTGTGGCTTTTCTGGGAGCTTTGGGCTGGGAATTCCCCAGCCTCTTCCCTGGACCTTTCCGCAGCTTCAGGGGAGAGTCTGCAAGTGAGAGCTGCAGTGACTGTGCCTTGTGCTTGGCACCCAAGCAGGGCATGGGAGTCTTGAGTGGAACCAGGGCCTCAAGGACAACGGAGAGCCGCATGGCAGGGTAGACACCTGGATAGAGGTGGGTGGGAAAGCCCACTGCTGCACCCCGGGCACGGCTGGCACTTGACTGCTTCAGGGAGCTCAGTAGCAGGTTGGTGGCGGCATGCTTGGCGAGGGCTGGTGTGGATGCTTTGGCCAGCCTGCCAGACAGTGCCATGGGGAGCAGCGTGGCCCGGCCTGCAGGCAGCCGCATGGCAGTTCGGGGAGCATTGGCTGGAGGTGATGTGGCAGCTGGGGTGGGGGCACGAGCTTGAAGCTTTGTCTGGCTTGGGGGGTTGGCTGTACACGAACTATAGCCATAGACATCACCACTGCGCAGGATGGTAGGTTGGAAGCCATCATCCCGCAGGCCCTGCAGAAAGGCCACAAGCTGGGCTTCAGTGGCACTGAGATCCTGGCTCATGGGGTTAAAGACAAGCAGCGCTTCCTCCAGGGCCTTCTTCCCTGCCGTGGAGATCCGCGACCAGGAGTGCACAGCTTTCTCCTCCACATGCTGCACCACCACGCTCATGGCATTAGGCACTGCAGATCTGCCTGGGTATCCGCAAACCAGCGCTTGGCACCTCCAAGGCAAAAGGAAGAGTCAATAAGAACAGCACCGAGACAGGGGCCAGGACCGGTAGATAGGTCAATCAGGGCCAGCAATCTTCACAATAACATCTATTGACACAGAGGGGCCTGGCCAGAGTGAGCCACTCCTTGGGGCAAAACCCTGGTCTTCTCCACCTATCACGGTGGAGGGTGGGGGACTCATATGGGTCAGAGGCAGCTTCTTCAGGATACATACCCATAAGCTCATCAGAGCCATCCAACCTGCTAATGGGCCCCTGCAAAGATATGGGCTTGGCCGAATTCCTAGTATTAGACTCAACACTGGGAATACAGGCAAATATCTCTGTCTTCCAGGAGCCCTGTACAGAAGGCAAGATAGAGATACCCTCAAGGTTCTTGGGAATGCACACTGGCACACAGCTCAGCTTGCCAATGGGTAAGGGAAGGATTCCCGGGAGAGGAATATTCACGTGGGACATGAATGATGAATAGGAAAGGACCAGATGGAGATGGAGCAAAAAGGGCAACAGCCAATGCAATGGCTCCAAAGTGAGAAAGAGTAAGGCAAACTTGGTGTGACTGGAATCTGTGGTCAGGGCTGGGAGGTCTAGCTGGAAAAACAGCGGACAGCAGGGCAATACAAGCTTTGAATGTTCCTTGAATGCTGGCCAAAGGGCCCAGACTTACATCCAAAGTCCATGAGCATCTCTGTTCTACAGCTGCGGCTGTTCAGGTGCCCAGGGGTGGACCTCCCTGCCCACCAGAAGTTCTGCTTTCAGAGTTCCCAGACAGTCCACTCAGAGGTCCAATGCCTAGCACTAGAGCCATGGAGACCAACCACAGGGAAAAAGCCAGACTCTCCTTCAACAGAAACTAAAAAGATGATGAGTAGCAGGTACTAATAACACATCTCTAGGCAATCAGGCAGCCTGGCGCCAGGCAGCCAGACCAAGAGCCCAAGGTCTGAGAGGCAATGACTCCGAGTAAGATGGTTAATAAAGTGAACCCTAGAGATCTGAACTGTCCTAACTAGGGCTTGGAAGACTTTGGTACAGTCCATTTAAAGCTGTCTGGGAAGACCCAAGTTGTCCCAGGCTTCTCTTTAAAAGCTGTAGGCCGTCAATCATGACTAACATCTAGTCTAACCCATCACTGAGGGGTCCAAGAGACAGCTCCGCAGCTGCACAGGAAAATTAAAAGATCAGCTGGATCAGGCAAGTCTCTGGGGCCAAGAGGTGAGTCTGTGCAGCTTCTTCCTCCCCCTAGTGGAGCAGAAGTTTTCAGAATTCCCTGGAGGAAGTGCCCTGGGGCTCTTTGTTTGGAAACATTCTTGGATCCTCAGGTGTCTCGGGCACTTCCCCTCTCCAGAGGCCATTCTCCAAGTACAGTCCTTACACATGACTTTAGTTCTTTTTTTTCCCAAGGGGTGTAGTTCCCACGGCTGTGAACTGTACAATAAGGAGGGACCTGTTGCCTCCAGGCACAGATATTGGGGATGAACGGGGGCTCTTCCGCTCAGGTCGGCCTGGGCCCTTGGGAGGGGTCTCCTGGGCTTTCCAAGAGGCTCCGGAAAACAGAGACTGCAGCCCGACCCCTGACTTCCCTTCACAAGTGTCCCCGGGGCCGGCCGGGGAAGCTGATGAAAGATGCGGGACGGGAGCGGCCCTAACCAAGCGGAACTGGGGCGGGGGCAGATCAGGGCCCTCAGGCTGGGAGTCCGCGTCCCTGAGACCCAAGCCGACGGTAGGAGCGGGGGGCCTTAGAAGAAGCGAAATGCACGGGGCAGGAGGTGGGAGCGCGACCGGGTCGCACAGCCCCAGGGTGGGGTCTTTGGGCACGGGGTGGGGGTTGGGGGTCTCGGTCGGGCCGGCGGAGGGCGCTGGTCCCGAAGGAGCCGGCCGCCCGGCCCATTCACCCTGCCGCCTCGCGGACAACCCCTCCGCGGCGTGGCTAGGCCCACGGCCCCAACCTACCGGCGCCGCCGCAGGGACCCAGGACGCGACTCTGCGCCGCCTCCGCTGCTCCAACATGGCCGCCTGCTGCGCACCGGAAGTGCGCCGCGCTTCCGCTTCCGGGACCTGGCCCGCCCTAGTGACCCTTGACCCCCCGAGACCCCGTTTCCCCCAAAGTTTGGGGGCTGGACAAGCGGGAACCAGAGAAGACTTCCTGGAGGAGGTGGCAGAGGGGACTGCTCTAAACCCTTGCGGGCCTGTGCAGGAGTGTGAGGGGCAAGAGGCGCTTTCGGCTGCTGCCCCAGGCAAGACTGCACCAGACTAGCATTGGATTAGGGGCCCGTCTGACACCTTCTCTGAGGGGCTTGATGGTGGAACGACATGTGGGAGGGATTTTTGGCAAGGTCCAAGCTATCCTTCACCCTTTTAGTCCTCCCGCAGCCACTGACAAGGCCCACCTCTGTCCCAGGTGCCTGAACAGAGGGTGAAAGAGGAGTGCGCCCTGCCTGAGAGTGTCCCTCGGGAGCCTCTTTGTACCTCCTCTGAGGGCAGCAGGCCTTCCCCTATTCCTGAGAGTGGGCCCACTGCATGTGGTATGAAAGGCTGGTTTGCACACATTTGTTGCAAATAAGCCCAAAGCTGGGCATGTCCAATCTGAGAGTCCCAGCATACCAGTGTGGGCCTGAGTGTACTTGCTTAGGAGCATGCCCACAGGTGTGGTGGGAGGACCCTGGTCCAGCCTTACCTCCCTCAGTGGCAGGAAGCCCTCCCTAAAGTCTTAACTCTTT